ATGACTATAATGATAATAATGATAATGATAATGACAAAATAATAACAAAAATAATAATATCAGCAACAATAGAAGCAATAACAATTAAAATAATAACGATAATAATGATGATAATAATAGTAATAATAATCATAAGGATACTAACAACAACAACAACAACATCAACAACACAACAACAACAACAACAACAGCAACAATACTAATAATACTAATATCAATACTAATACTAATAATAACAATAATGATAATGGTGATAATAATAATAGTAATATTAACAAAGAAAATAACAACAATGATATTAGCACTAGTAATATTAATGAAAATAATAACAATCATAATGATACTCCCTATTGTAATAATAATAACATAGATAGTGACGAAATAATAAATGACGATAATGATGATGATCATAGCAATACGTCACAATACTGATGTAGATAATCATATTAATATTAAATGAAATAATAATGATAATGATTATGATAATAATAATAATAATATTCTCCATTGTAAATCTGCGTGTTCCGTCCATCCGTTTTACGCATGAAATGATAATCTATGTGACTGCGGAGTTGAATTAATTTAATTGTGATGTAAAAGGGGGTGAAATTGACAACATAAATATAAAAAAAAATGACACACACAAATGAATCACATCTCGGTTCTCTTGGAATTTCCATTTTAACTCTATCAACACCATTTTTATTATTCTTTTTTTTTTTTTTATTATTATTATTGTTGTTGTTATTATAGATGAACCGTATTCATGTTGACAAATGTAGAAAATGTATGGATGAGAATGAATATCTTCGCAATACAAGAGATGTATTTAACTGTTTTCGAATATATATTTTCATCAGAAATACCTGTTATTATTACTACTGTTGTTATTACCTCCGCCAAGGAGGTTATGTTTTTGACGGCGTTGGTGTGTTGGTTTGTTTGTTTGTTAGCAGCGTAGCTCAAAAAGTGCTGGCCGGATTTCATCGAAATTTTGGGGACAAGTCAGAAAGGGACTAACTTAGAACTGATTAAATTTTGGTGACATTTCGAATTACCGTCTGGACGCAGCCAAAGTATATATATTATATACGCACCTTGGCGGAGGTCTGCACTCTCTGAGTGCTTTTCTAGTTATCACTATTACACTCTTTCGAGGCAAGTACACTGGACGGAAGTAGTTAGACCGTTAGTTCCTGCACATTTATGGGGGGGGGGTATAAGGAAGAAAGGTAGGAATGGAAGGCGGAGGGGAAGGGGGGAAAGAAAAGGAAAAGGGGAGACTGAAGAACTGAGAGGGGAAGGAGGCTTAAAGAGAAAAGGAGGGATAGAGGAGAAAGAAACTTA